ATATCTATGGAACTTTTAGTAGATATATTTCAGGTCATAGGTGAAGAATTTTTTTGAAGTTTTTAGAATTGTAAACCACTGTTATTAATTTGGGGTTAAGATTTTTTTGCCATTACTTGCTTTAGAAGACAAATATATTGCTTTTGGCGTGGACCATTAATTTTTGTAGCCGGGGCCTCGGCAGTGTATCGACGGTCCATTTTTGATGATGCCGACGGTCCTCGAAGAAAGGGTTTTGGCGGATGGAGAAGCAAAAGCAAGGAGCAAATTTTTTTTTATTTAAAGAAGTCTCCATGGAAATTTCACTCGAACAATTGGGTTCTGTTTGGTTCTTAACTATTAGATTAATAAATTTTCCATTCTCCGTAGCAAAGAGCCATTTTTTTATTCAAAGTAGAAAATTTCAGTCAACATATTAACATCGTAGGCTAAGTTTGACTTGGTGCTTAACTAATATGTTTTTAGTAGTTATGAATCATTAGCTCCGAATATGATAATTGGTTATCGTACTAATCTATTCTTGTTTTGAACTCTCGGGGTGGTATGTTTGTAATTATCAAAGATAAGTCACGGTTGAATTGTAATAAGATCAAATTGTCAACGATTATTAATATTTGTTTATATCCATCACTTGTTCAAGTTGTTCTATTGTATTTAACCCTTTCCTTTTTATTATTAAGTGTTGAATTGAGATTTTGATATAATAATAAATTGTAAAATTAATTTTTAGATTTAATTGAATTTGTCAATAATTTATCAAAAATAATATGAAGTCTAAATTAACTTAAAAATTATGTTCTAAATGTTTTTCAATTTAATCAAACCTTTTAAAAAATTTACTCGATCTTTTTCACGTTTTAAAGTCGAGTTTCCAATGATTTTTAGCTCAAAGATCGATACTTTAGAAAAATATCGATCTTTTTGACCAAAGGATCGATACTCCATGGACAAATACCCTGGATTCCAGTAAGTTTTGGATCGATCCTTCAAGAAAAATGATTGATCCCTTCACCAAAAGGATTGATCCCTTGATGAAAAGGAGCTATCTCTTCCCCTAATGGATCAATCCATTTCTTGCAACAGTCGAATTATTTGGAACATAATCGATCCCTTATGCATAAAATGTTATTTTTTATTGTAGGTAATGACTATAATGATCCCCAACAGCTCTAAATGATTAGAATTGATGGAGAATGTATAAAATAAAGGTCAAAACACCCCCAAGGTAAACAAGAACCATATTGAACAATTATACCTACATCAAAGAAGTCTTTTGTGCTTAGTTTTTCAATATTTTCATTGTAACACACTTGTAAGTTTTATTGTTTAATTTGCTCAAGTGTGATTTGGGTGAGAGATTATTGTTCGCAAACACACTTACATTTGTGAGATTTTCTTTTAATTGCTAAATTAGTAATTTCTCTTGTGAAGAAAGTGTAAGCAAGGTTTTGGGTATAAACCTTAGCGTTGATCTGAGAAATCCTTAGTATGGATGTTAAGATAATGAATGTAGACTTGATTTAGAAGTCAAACTACTCTAAATTCTTCATGTAGAAGCTTTATTTTTGTGTCACTTCTACCGTTATTTTTAAAAGGTCAATTCACCTCCCTTTTAGCGTTTTTCGATTGTTCGTAAAAACTAACATTGGGTGATTAATCTAATATATTTTTTAAAATTTTAGGCAATATGTGGTCTAGTGTAATTAATCCACCTTCATTTTCTTAGACTCTTTTTTTTTTTACCTTTATTTGTAAAATCTAGCTTTTATATGCAATGGTAATGTATGCCCATATTTTTAGTTAGTTAAAAGGGAAGCTTCATTTAAATATTTAATATATTAAGAAATATTTTAGCATGCATATGATAACTTCAAATTAAAAGATAGTAAAGATATATTATCATATTAAAATACAAATATAATTTTTAAAAAGGCTACCAAGCTTCTGGTGGGCTGCTGCTGCCTGCTACCCTACGTGAAACGTATGAATAAAGCAATACAGATAATCTATATTATAAATTAATCGTGTTTTTTATTAATAAATTAAAAGATATATTATCATATTAAAATAAAAATATAAGTTTTAAAAAGGCTTATGATAGAATAAGATAATAACATCAATTTATTGATAGTTATGCATATCTAATATATGTATTGTGTCGCGCGAACGCGAATAAAGTGATATTGATAATAAAGAAATTGTTGTTGTTTCTTGAAGTTATGGGTTCGAGCATCATGAATATCATGTGTATGAGCATTTGAAGATATGTTATTTTGTACTTACTCCAGATTAATCATATATATATATATATATATATATATATTGTATTTATAAATAAATTAGTGATCTCAGTAGTAAAAGATAATAATATTTTTTTATAAAAGATTTAAATTCGAGTAATTATGTCTCTAGAATATGTATTGTAAATAAAAAAAGATTATAAACGTATATTATTTTGTAGTCAGATTAAACTATTAAAAAAGTTATACCATACCTGGAAAAAAATGAGAAATCTAATTTTCAAATGATAAATTATAACTAGAACTAAAAAATAAACTATAAAATTTAAATAAATAAATATCTTAATTAATATTAATAATATTTTTATGTACTTTTAATTAAAAATTTGAGAGAATGCCGGAGTTTTTATCCAAAAATCACCCTGGCAGGAATTAATTATCTGTCAGACACCGTTTTAGGAAATTTTACCGATCTAACACCCTTGCAGAAAGGCGGATCATCATTTGCGCATTACCGGAAACTGTTGGCTGCTGGGGATGCTCATTTGTGCAGCATGGCACCTTGGCCTGTGCCTACAGCATGTCAAGTCGATTCTACTAATGACTTTCTACGCAGCATCCACGACGGCCTGCATTGGAACCTCAGAAAGGCGCAGTCGTTCGACGGGCCTCGGGACACATAAGGTAATTTCCCAATCTTTTAAGCATGTGTAGACGGAATCTAACATAGACATGACATATGTTGCCAGTCATTGTAGGAAGGGGAAAAGATGTGTTTCCCCTGTAGGAAGGAAGCATTGTGTTTGTGGTGCTGCCGATGATACAACCAAAATTTTAGTCCAACACTAGAGAGTATCTTTGTATGTTTTAAATGTGATCAAAAGAGCAATTTCGCTTTCAAAATTTGTCAGAATGTAGTTTCCTGGAAATGTTTAAATGATCATTTTGGCTTAATGCTAAAACTAACTCCCAACATTTACTAAAATGGTCGTTTTGACCCCTATTATTCTTTTGGAGCATTTTAGCTTCTAACGTTTTGTTTTAGGAGAAAAAGGTCACTAACACTTGGCCGAATAGTCACTTTGGCAGGGCCGGTCCTGACATTTTAAGGGCCCTAGGCAAAATAAAATATAAGGGGCCCTAAAAAAATGGGTGCAAGCATGGTATAAAATATAAGGGCCCCTAGTGTATAGTGGAGCGGCCAGAAGCATGCCGTATTCAGAAACAGATTGAAAAATCAATGAAAATTGGAAAATAACTTGGGCCCCCTCCGTTGAATCCCGTTGAAATGTCAGAAACAAGCATGGTAAATCATAAGCTCGTTGAAATGGTAAATCATAAGTGTGTGAAACACATGTCAGGAGGCATGTTATATCATAAGAATGGCCCCCTCCAAACCTGGGCCCTAAGCGGTCGCCCCCCCCTCGCTTACCCTCAGGGTCGGGCCTGCACTTTGGCTCTTATTTGTTTTTTCTTTCCTATAACATTTCGACTTTCAATGCCTTATTTTAAGGTAAAAATATTCATATTTTGGAGCATTAAATGTTTATTAGCTAATGAATTTTATCCATATAGGGATTTTTTTGCCTCGAATGAAATGTTGAGACAAAATACTCCAAAAGCATAATAAAGACTAAAATAATAATTTTAGTAAATGTTGGATGTTAATTTCGATAATATGTCCATCAAATTTAGTCTCAGTGTTTACACAATATGTTAATTTGATGTGGTTTTAAAAATTTAATACATAATTTTGACCTGTAAATGTTAAAACTTAAAATTTTTATTTTAAAAAAAGAAGAAGATCAAATTAACATAATACGTAAATATTATTAGTAAAATTGATTTTAATTTCAGTTAAAATTAATATAATGCATTATTATCGCGTTGCTCTCTTTCGATATCTGACCATGATTAATTTTTTTTAGAGAGACCAATTTATCAAATTTCGAACTCAAGAGGGACCTAAGAGGTTCTTTTACCAGACTAAGACTACCCGTGCTAACAATGTACAAATTTCTTTTACATAAAAAGCCATGGGATTCTATTGTGCCAAATTGAAACTTAATGATTTCTTAAGGACTATAAAGCAAATTTTCCATTTTACCGACCATTCGGCTTTGGTATATCTATTGTGCCAGTGTGCGTCGCATGATTTCATCTATAAGGACACCTTCGATTACTCTAGAGTTCAACCCATATTTTACATGGTTAATGTGTATAATAAGACATTTATTTTACTTTAAAACAAGTTTCTAGAATAAATTAATTGTTTCTATAACTTTTTTTTTAAATTTTACATGTAAATTTTAAATACAAAATTAATTCATAATTTAAATTTATTTGTCCTCTCTTATAAAAATATATAATTATAAATTAAACTATCAGCATAGATTAATTTCTGTAACCGTATAGCATGTAAGATGAACAAGAGAACTAACATCACCCAACTATGCAATTACTTCACCCTTCCTACATTCCCTCAACTTGATGTTCATAATATTCGAGCCAGTCATATTCAAAACATTGCAGCATTCGATTTTTCCAGGCTGAAAAAAATGAAAAGAACAATATAAGAATGAATTCTATAGATAAATTTATGTCATTCGTGTCCGATACGAACCTGCTTGCGAACAGTTGCATTCGAAAAGACTCGAATTCTTTTGATGCCGCCGGCGGTATGGTTTCCGGAGAACAAACAAGTTCCTAACTGACGCGGAGCTCGTCGTTTATACGTAGAGAGGACCAGCGAATCCCCTTTCAATCTCCTGACATGTTCCATGAAGAACACATGTGGAGCTTGGCATGGATCTTTTGTGACGGGCCTGGTGTTGAACATGAACAACGGGGGCGGACCCTTTTTCCAGGGCTTGAATGTCTCGAGGGGTTTCTTCAGAATGCTCCGAGGAATGATGCTCTCGTATATGTGAGCCGAGTAACCCCAGGAGATGGAGATGGACCAGTTGTTGCGCCTGTCGTAGCATATTGTTTGCTGTGCTAGCCGTGATTGATCGACTCTGGCTGCTTGCATCAGGTGTTTGACCGCGTTGGTTCGGTTCTTGTTGGGGAAGATTGGGTCTATGTTGCCGAAATGGTGAAGCGTGATGATTGGTGTCGGCGGATGAGCTGACAACATGCCCGATATGTCACCCAGAAGATCAATCTGCACTTTCTCATATCATATTAAGAAATTAGAGATAATGAGATTCAATGCATATTATTGACATGGTACATATCACGTCATCACCTTAAATGATATAAGACGTGATACGTTAACAATTAAGCACATATGAAAATGTCACGTCAATAATATGTATTGATCGATAATTAACTAACGGTTTCTATTCAAATATTTTAATCAAAAATTAAAAATATTAAGGGTTAAAATACTTAAAAGAAAGAATATAAACTAAGATGACCATTTAGATAAATGATGAGAATTACAATGATATAATATTATCATGTGTCCAAAGTGATGACGTGATATTGTCATATGTTTAAAGTGATTATGTTATATTGTCATGTGTTCAAAATAATGATATAGAATATATCATATCATTAGTTTGGACATATAAAATTTCTCACGTTAGTAATAAATATTGATTTTTGGTCAAGTGCTTATTAGAGAAAATTTAATCTTAAAATAAAATATTCGGGTCAAAATATTTAAAAAATAAAGATTAAAGTGATTATTTTATGAAAGGTTAGGATATAATGTTACTTTATAAGATACTCTAAAATTTGGACCGACTAACAGAAGTGTAATTACCTGATGAACACCACGTTCAATAGTAAGAGAAATCCCCAAGTCAAATAAACAAGAGGATGTCAAATGGTCACTGGTATGGCTGAACGGGTATCTTTCCAGGCAATCATTCATCAATGGGGCAAGTTGTTGCACCAGTGAATAGCTCAGAGCATATCCGGCACCACCGTACGCCATGTCGTATGCGAAAAGGAAGTTCGATATGACCGACTCTGAATACATCCCTATATAATAATGCTTGGTATGATCATATTTCGCCAACGTCTCAATTAAATTCTCTAGAAAAAAGACAGTGTCATCGTCGGCCATCACGAACCACCTCACCCCCTGGTTATCCCCAAGGTTAAATGAGTCGAGAACGGATCGAAAAATCCGGGCCTCGATCGGATTTGCGAGCTTCCGGTACACCGGCAGCTTCGTGGCATCCGAATTGATCTTATAAGGTGGAGAAGTTTTGGGCCAAGGGAGGAACTGTTTAGGCGGACGTGAGTCCATGAAGATGTCCCCCCTTGTTTTGTTCGGCCTCCACCAGGATTCGGTGTAGGGTCTTCTCGTCGGCCATGTTTCAGTGCAGCCGACGAGAACAAACTTAACGTGACTGAGGTCGGTCGGATGATGCAAAGGCTCGACATTTGTGTTCGGCTGCTTCATATCCATCCGCTTCGAAACATCGATCGAGTCTTTGCTTCGAGGGTTATACAAGAACTTGTACAAGATCAAGAGAACCAGACCCGAAAGAGCAGATAATTTGGCCAAGTCCAGGAAAGAACGGCTACGAAATCTGTGTTTCATCTGTGCTGTTTAATATGAACGCATTGAATGAAAATGTTTCGACTTTGTTCTTTTGTTAAAGTTCCACTAACAGAGAGCCAACATGAACCGAATGGAGAAGAAAGGGTGTGTTTTTGCTGTTGGGTTTTTGTGTTTGGGAATTTGGTTTGGATTTTTGAAGTTCATTTGACGTCGGTCGGTCATGTGCGTGTGCAGTGTTTTGCGCATTTGGTGTGGTGAAAAACCGAGGCAGATTTTTGCACGTTGAAATTTGATTGTCCGAATCATTCCCACGTGCTTTATTAATAGCGTTTCAAAAGGATTGCTTCTCTTCCATAACGTTTTTGCCCCCCAAATTCAGGATCAACACATGGTTTGGCTAAATCGGTTTCGATTTAAAAGAATATATTTTCGAAAAAAATAGAGTTGTCATCGATTATTTTGTTTTAGTATCGACAAGCTTGATCATTTTATTGCAGCTCTATTCTCTCTGTGCTATGTAATACTCCACTAGACACTAGCTAGTCAAGTTGCAGCTCAGGCTCCAAAGCTCTTATAAATGTGAAGTTGCAGTTCAGAAAACGGTGGTAAGATCAACGACCGAGGCCGAGTATCGGAGTATTCTTCCACGCTCGATAAAAACACGTTGAGCTCGATATGTGCTTTATTCAAAAAGAGGTGGCCAACAAAACTCAAGTAAACTATGTTCCAGCCTCACACCACCAAGTTGTAGTTGGTCTTACTAAACCCCTAACAAAGCTTCCAACGATTTGTTTCGAGTTTAGACAGAATGTTCTGGCTGACAGGGATGGGCCGAGGGGAGTGCTAGGGGTGCGGTCATCCAACTTTTAGCATGCTTTTATTTTGGTAACCCAACTTTTGAAACTTACAATACAATCATCTAACTTTTAGGTAGCGTTTGGTTCGCTGTAATCTCTTGGAATTATGGGGAATTGAAATCTAATTCCACCACTTTCCCATGTTTGGTTCAAGTTTTCAAATGGGGAATTGGAATGCAATTCCATCAAGGGAGGAAAAGTAAATTTCATCCATAACATGATGGAATTGAAATCCTTTGGAGGAGGGAATGTGAAATTTGACTATACTACACTCATCAATCTTTTGGTATTCGAGTCAGATTTTTTTAAAAAAAATCGGGTTCGGGTCGAGTTGGGTTTTGTTAAGTTTGATATTCGGTTCGGGTCAGTTTTTTAAAAAAAGAATTCAGGATCGGGTAGGATTTTTTAAAAAAAATTTGGGGTCGGGTCTAGTTTTTTTAAGTTTGATATTCGGGTCGGGTCGGATTTTTTTAAGTGTGATATTCGGGTCATGTTCGGGTTTAGGGTAAAAATACCCGACTTGACCCAAAAAAATATATAATTTTACCTTATATATTTAGAAATAATTACAATAATATCTTTCTATATATAATTTTTTCAATTAAGTCATTATTTTTATTGAATAAAAATAATTTTTTTATTATTTCAGGTCGGGTCGGGTTTCTAATTTATATATTCGGGTCGGGTCGGGTGAAACTTTATTTTGGTCGGGTCTCGGGTGGAGGTTCCCTTGTTCTCGAGTCGGGTCGGGTGGAGGTTCCCTTGTTCTCGAGTCGGGTCGGGTGGACCAAAAACCTGACCAAACCCGATGTCATCCATAATTGGGATGATTTTAACTTATAATATTTATTAGTATGATTTTTATAATTTTTTGAAATGAATAATCAATCAATAAATTGAAAAATTAATATTTTTAAAATTTTTATAATATATCGTTACATGTAAGTTATAAAACAAATTAAAATTAAGCAAAAAAAAATAAGAATGGCAATTCTGTCATTTTACATTAATGAAATCAATTTCATCTGACATGTCTGCGAACCAAACAGAATATGAAATTAGACTCCAATTCAATTTCCTGCCAACCAAACAGGTTTCAGATTCAGATTCTAATTACTTCACATATTCTAATTTCCTCATAAACATTCTATCGAACCAAACGCATTGTTTGTCGTAAGATCCCTTGCTGACTTGACAATGAACCTCCCGCTAACCCTATCCTTTTCATCTCCTTCCTCCTCCTCCTTCCTTCTCCTCCTTCCTCCTTCCTCCATCCTCCATCCTCCATCCTCCATCCTCCATCCTCCAAATAAAGCCAAGTCACCTATCTAGAATCTCAAAACCAATCTAATAAGGCAATGAAAGTCGAAGTCGTGAAAAATGATCAACTAAACTCTAGCTACTTTACTGATACAACCCATTAAAGAATCAACCCAGCAAGGAATATTACCCAAACAAACCCATGATTCCACAAACACAAGTTTAAATTAAACTAAAAACTCAAAAATATAACACACAAAAATATATTAACATGATATAAAGTTAGAATATTTATTTCATAATAAACCAATATAATCAATTTCTTACACTCAACTTACAACAGTAAATGAATATCAGAGAAGTCAAAAAACGGGGGGAATGCTTACTTTGTCATGTTTTTTCAATTTAGAGAAGGTATCAGAAAGACCAAGAGTTGGAACAGTGGTTACTATAGCCATTGGAGTGAATCTCGTAGTTGATACAAAGGCTTTTCCAGAGGGAAACCGTGATGGAAGAGGGGGGGGTATTGTGATTCTTTAGGAGAAAACTTAAGTCGAATTAGGGAGACCCTAAAACCACAAAGGATCTCCATCTTTGATGAATCAAGAGCTTCCCGTTATAAGAAAGTTCGACACATCTTCTTGCGAGATCATACCATTCGTTTACAGTGACCAAGATGGAAGAAAAATCACAGCTTGAACCAGAGGTGTCAATGACCATCAACCCAGAACTCAACTCCTCAGCTGCTTTCGAATAACTTGTCATTTAACATTGAAAACTTTGATAGAATGAGACAGAGAAATCAAAGAAGATTTATCCTCCGTAATTTGCTTTGTTTTCTCTTCTTCACCCATTTTGCTGTTCTACTCACCAGTACTAAAAAAACTCCATTTTACTTTTGATGTATATTTGATGTCAAAGTGTGCTAACGTGGGTTAAGGGTGCCAAATCAACTATCCTAACGTGATACATCAGACTGTCATTATTCGGTAACGATCGTTCACGGTTGAATCACCATTTTATCGTTTAAAATGTGATACTTGGGAACACAAGATACTGGAAAAGGGTTAACAAAATAAGGGCCTAACTTTTAAATCAACCAAGTTATATTCTTGAACTAATTTCCTGAAACCAGGCCTCTTTAAGCAGTAAATGGGCTAAGGTATATGAGCTACGAGCAATGGTTTTTTTTTTTTACCTTGTTTAAATATAATAAAATGGGGTTTTTTACCTTGTTTTTTTTTAGAATTTTATAAGTTCAAGTTCGTTCCTGAAATTTTTAAAATTTCAAAATAAAATTTTGAGGATTTAATTTATTAAATTATTTTAAATTAAAATAAAATTAATTGAAATGAGTAAATATAGATGATTAGATGTATTATTATTAGAAAATTATCTGATATTCAAAATAAAATCATCTCATAATCTAATAACAAATAAAACAGTTTAACTATTTATATAACCGTGTGATATTAGATTTTGGGGAAAAAAACTTTTAAATCTTTTTGATAAGATAATGATAATATTTAAAAAAATAAAGATATTTTTTGAGATAAATTAAAACGAACAAATCAGATTAAATATTTATTATAGGATAAATTAAAACAAACAAATCAAATTATATATTTATTTTTTTAAAAAACTATATATATTTGTTAGTAAACAGAGTTATGTACATTTTGATTTCACATAGAATTCTCAGTCTCATTTATATATTTTTGCTTGTTTTTCACATGTTTTCTTTCTTGGTAAACAGAGTATTGAAATTAAGCAGAAACCCAAGTCTTGTAACATCAAACAATCACCTATGGACATCCCACCTCCGTCTCTCCACCATGCACCCCCCGACCGCGGCCTAGTCATTGTCGAGGCGTTGGAGGAAGATGAACCGAACATGAACGTTAACGGCAACAATGCCGACGATCGCTATCTCGATTCGTTTCCTCCGGGATTTCGATTTTGTCCTCTCGACGAAGAGCTCGTTCTTCATTACTTGAAGAACAAAGTCATGGATTTACCTCTGCCTCCGAACAGGATCACGGAAGTTAATTTATATAGTTATAATCCTGAAAAACTTGCAGGTATTATCATGATATTAAATCACTCCATCGAAAATAATTAATCTGATTGTTTTATACATTGTCAATTAGAAAAACACAAGCAATATGGAGAAAAAGAATGGTATTTTTTCACTCCTAGAGATAAAAAATATCGGAACGGAACACGACCTAATCGTGCGGCCGATAACGGATACTGGAAGGCCACCGGTGCAGATAAGGGAGTTCGATCCGACGATAAAATAATCGGCTACCGGAAGGCATTGGTCTTTTACGAAGGAAGACCTCCCAAAGGTACAAAGACCTCTTGGATAATGCATGAGTATAGAGTTAACGATCCTCCTTCGCCCAGTAAAGAAAGGGCAGGTTACAGTGCGATGAGGGTATTAATCTAAATTTCCCAAAACTTATATTTTCTAAATTTTTCTTATTGATCGACATTTTTCTAGTTTTGCAGCTGGATGATTGGGTTCTATGCCGGATCTACAAAAAACAGGAGAAACCAAGAAAAACACAAGCGAAAGACGATGAGACGAACCTGTCGATTCAGAATCCTGAAGTTCCGAACGAAGAGATGATCGATTCGGACGACGTTATCGATTACAACGATTATTTCAACACGGGAAGCTTCGTGAACCAATCTTTGGCCGACGAATCCTTTAGCGATTTACAGAATGTTTTCGACAGGCAGTTTTCGTCGCAGTTTCCGACGTGGTATCTGAATGACGATGGGATGGAGCAGCAAGATCTTTGGAGCAGCGTTGGGAATTTGGAACCACCTGTACCATTGAATATGTATGTTCAGCCATTGGTGAATTTGGATTTGTCAGCTCAAAATAATCATATATCAGATGAAGATGCTGATTCTAAGAATGTGGATTGGAATTAGTGTTAGTCAAGTTTAGGGATTAAGGTATAAGGTTATTTGATTCGTTCGGAGTTCGATTTTATATTTTTATTGGAGACTTTTTGTTTTGTGTTCGATTTACGATCCACTTTGAAGTTAATACGAAGACGATTTTTTATTTGGATTTCCTTCTTTTATTTGACGTCGTATACCAAAATGATTTTAACTTTTTAATAATATTTTTATTTTTTGATATCATATATCTTACTCGATTTCTTTTAAATTTTGAACCTCTAAACTCATTTTTACGGTAATTCAATAGGTGATTGACATTTTATTTTATTGTAGTATCCAAGACCATTAAATCATCGTTACGTTATACACGAACATCTTTCAATTAGTCAATACAATTTATCTATCAATAAAATTACGTGGTCCTGATATCGTTAATTTATAAAAAAATTTACTGCATTGTCTTCTACAACAATTTTTTTTTTTGTTTATTTGCTGCCACATAAACAAGTTTTACTTTGCATTTTTACCCCCCAAATACTCAACTTTTTATGATTTAATCCTTTTCGTTTTGACATCCCAACATAAAATTCTTGACTTTGATCCTGCTGAAAACTCAAAAACCTGCATACAGGTCCTGATCAAATTTATACATTTGAGTAATACAAGGAGCAGCATTCATTTCATTTCCTTCACAGCCAAAATCACTAATTCCGGGGACCAAAAATGGCCGGTAATTGCTCGACTCGACCACAGCCTGCAGCAAATCAGCTCGTCTCCCGACGTTTCTCTTCAGCTCCCGGAGCGCATTTTTTAACTGTCGGAGCTCACTCAACCTGAGTTCGTCGACCGGGGCTTGCCACCACCATTGCCTTCGACCAGCTTCCCTTACTTCATCGAGTGCTTCCCCATTCCATTTTTCAACTTCCAACATCTCGACAAGCTGTGCTAGATGTGCATTAAGCTCACGGATGTTAACATCAGGACAAGCTTCGATAACGTTACGATGCGCGTTAATGTTATGAACCGAAGGGTCTGGAGCGAGAAACCGATCGACGATGGACTCGACGTAAGCGTGAAAAGCTCATTGGCTTTTTCAAAAAGCCCCGCACGACGTTTAGAAAAGGTCACCTGCAGATTACTCTTCTTCACTATCTTCTTCATTTCGATCTTCCGGCCACCTCGGATCGAGCTGTTCTTCACCATTGTTGAAGATAAATGTGTCTTGAAACTCTAAGAAGAATGTGTGGGGGTATTTATACAGAGGTGTTGCATTTGTTTCTTGAATTAAAACCAAAGATTTGGAATTGATCAAGAATCAGATAACCAATTTTGAATGTGTGGGGGTATTATATTTATACAAAGCCCTTTAGTCTATTAGATTATAAAAAAAAGGGTATACTACGCATTTAGTATATAAACTATTAGTTTTGGTCTATTTTAGTACCTGACTTTTAATTTGTTCAAAATCATACTTAACATTTAGTTTTCGTTTCATTTTAATACTACCTTGTAGTTATCCGGATTAATAAAAAAAATTGTTTCATTTGGATAGGTGAGAGTTCCCACAAAAAGAATTGATATAAATAACCATTTTAATTTTAAACAAAAATTTTAAATACTAAAATAAAAGTATAATATAACAATTCAAAATTTTCTTATTTTAATAATAATCTTTTTCTACAAGTATGATTTAATATTATAATATTATTTTGATTATAAATAATATTCTTAATATTTTATTGAAAGATATGTTATACTATTATTTTAGTAATAAATATATAATTTACAAATATTTAAAAATAAATGATCCTTTATATAAAATTTTAATATTTAACTGCTGTCATTAATAAGACTGATCAGATCAGATGTACTAATTTCTCACAAGACCTTTATCATCAGCAAACATCAATTCACCAGCCAGCACAAGATTCTGTTCTTGCTCAAATTTACACATTTTTGCGTGCCCTGGTTTCCCTCTAAAGACTCCATTTGAAGGCAAGATTGAAGCAGTGAACCAGTGAAAAGCTTCGAAATCGGCCGCGAGATTCATGTACGATGAACCGAGTGTTCGACATATAGGATAGTAGGATCATCTACGATGAACGTTTCAGTTCCTCTTTATGAAGGCATGATTCCTTCGCCATGCTGCTTCTGCTGTTGTTTCTTCAAGGTTGACATGTTACTGATGTCTCCAAGGGGTGACCGTCTGATCGGGAGAAGTCCGGCGGTGTATTGATCGTCAACCTTTAACCGACACACGAGTACCCTCTTCTCTGTTTCGCTTTGTGCTTCTCGATTGATCGAAGAAGCAACTCGTGTCCTTGCCGTTTTTGGCTCTCTTTCCTGCCTCAATCTCTCGACCTCTTGACGAAGAACATATGCTTGTGCCTCTAACTCGTTAGCCTCGGCTTCGGATGAGAGAGCTTTCTGTCTCCATTCTTTCACCTAATGAAAGCAAACCAACATGTTAAGCAACTAGAAACGATGTGTGATTGTCTTTGTACTTCTTAAATAGCTTGTGAAAATCTTACGGTAGATTGCAGGGATTGAATCCGATAATCCGAATCGAGTGCTCGATCTTCCCAGAAATCACGAGACGCGTGCAATTCTTCCATCTCATCCCTTACCAGAGCCAGCATGTCTTGCATCTGTGACCATTGTTCGGTCTCGGCACGAATTTGATCCACAACCCTCTGCACTATTGCCTTGCAATGCCCTGAACACACTCGTGCCCCATGGGACATTTTCTCCTGCGAAAAACCAAGTGTTCTAATGCAAAAATGGAACTCATATGATTGTTGTTAATGATTGATGATGATTAAAGGAACTTACTTTGCATGATTGTTGTAAAGAAGAAGACGATAAATCTGAATATTCCTCTAACAAAAACCCCTTCGACAATCCATCCATCTTTCTTCTCAAATTCTCCACCTGCAAATCCGAATCGTTTCGTACATTGCGGTTATGAACATCTTCTTCGCTGATGGTTTTGATCGACAAGCTCGCTTCGGCCATCTGTCGAATCTCTTTCACGCATTGTTCTTCATTGGATATTCCTTTAAACCCAGATTTTTCTAGCTGTTTCCGGAGAGAATATGGTTTTTTATCGAAGTTACTGAATTTTTTTACCTCCATGTTTTTAACAACTGATCTCTTTTGCAGATTCTCTATGTTCTCGACCAATTCATTGATCTGTTCGTCCAGTAATGCCATGTTTACATTCTTTCCTTCGCAGATGTTCTTTCTTCCCTGTAAACCAAATGCTAAAATCAAAGTCAGAAAGCAATATTTTCTCGAGATCAAAACAGAAAAAGAAGGGAGAAGAAGAAACCGACGGAAAGTAAAATTAGAGCAGCGGATTCCAATGTCCTCTCCATGTGCACCCTTCTTCTCTCCATTTTCTTAACGGCGATCTTCCTTTCCATCCTCAGCAAATTACACTCGGTTCTCAACATCTCAGCTTGGAACCTCCATTTCTCTTCTTCAACAAAGGCTACGCAGCCGCCGCGGTCAACTCTCCTCTCCTCCTCCTCCTCCGCCGCCACCCTCCCTCTTCTCATCTCGTCGTCACTCTCCCTCCGACTCACCACCAACACCGGAACACTCTCCCTTCTAAAAGTCCCTCCTCGATCAAACAAGCTCTGCAGAACCATCCCTTTCCTCTCTTTACCGGGAAGTTTCGAAGGACTCGCCTTGGGCGCTTTCCTTCGAGGCCGCCGTGGCAAATGGATGATTCTCGGAGTCGGCTGCGCCGGTGGGTATTGCCATTTAGCTCTCCTCGTTATAGTTGTTCCCATTGACATCCTCTCCATGCCAAAAAAAAAAATAACTCTTTGCTTTCGTTTCGAAAAGACTTGGATTTAGAAAATTTAAGAACTTCTCTATAATTGGGTACTGTTTTAGTTACAGACGGTGGGAGACTGGGAGTTCTGTCAATATTTTGCAAACACAGATGCACTGTTCTTCTTAAAGTTGTCTGAAACAAAAATGAATAAATAAATACAGAGGTTGTTTTGTCCTGTTTATGGTGTCTGGTTTTACATCTGATGAAATGACAGTATGGTGTGTGGATATGGAAGCTAAGCATTACTGTGAAATTTTTGGACTTGTTTAACAGAAATTTTGTTTTTAAAAGGAATTTGATGGAAGGGGTGGGAGGAAAATATAGGTGGGGGCACGATGAAGAATTGATTATGCATTACGTGGGGGTAGATTTGGCAAAACAATCAAATTAAAAAGTGTTGCCATTTTCAAAATTGAAACTGCAACGGTAAGTTTAGAGGTTAGAGGAGAGGTACTGGGACTGTTGTGTGTTTTAAGGCTGTTTTAGGTCACGGTATTAATGGCATGGAATTTAGGAAAGAGACAAATATGAAAAACCTCAACCCAAGCAAAAAAATAAAATGAGTAATCAATGTATTAGATATCTATTTATCTACCCAAATTAGACATTGGATCATTTAAATAAAGCCGACCAATTGTTGTTATTTCGGAATGTTAGTTAACGTCAAATGATTAAGAGTTATTATTAAATAATCATTACTTTGTACTTACACCAGATAAATAAAAAAATAAATATATTTTGGCACTGTATATAAAATAATTAAATTGAAAGGATTATTCTTATAATAAACATAATTTTGATAGTAATACCAAAAAGAAAACGTAATACGTAGGATTAGAGTCGTGGCCATTCTATGTGAATATAAAGGGAGTGTTGTACTCCCTTATATCAAGTTTAAATAGTTACGTCCATAAGGATTATGTTCGTTGTCAATGATTAAAAAAAATTATAAACATATACTGCTTTATAATCACCTCAAACTATTCAAAAAATAGCATATTACATTATACATGTAGAAATACACTCAACATTAAATATATATATATATATATATATATATATTGGATTTGTAAATTAAACGATATTTATTCTTAGTATTTAAGTCATGTTCCAACAAAACTCATGAGATATGACCAAAACAGTGAGAGTATAAGTCGAAAATAATATTTTAGGATGTACACCT